CGGCAACAACAATCAAAAAATTGCTAGCTCTATGTAACATTTGATTAGGTTGTGAAAGGGGCTGGTAGGTAGGTAGGTAGGTAGGTAGGTGAACTCCTCTTGCCGTACCATCTGGTTTAGTTAAACACAACAACAATGGAGGGAAATGTTTATGGGCCAGTCGGGGGCTGGTGCGCTTGCTGCGTCGAGTGGGATGTGCTTGGGGCGATGGGGGATGGGGCGAACATTGGCAATTAGAAATTGAAGTTAAGTTGGCTCGGAGATTACTTGCATAACCGCAGACGCATCGTAAGCAGGCAGCAGTGTGTATCGTCAGGTCGTTGCATGTAGGACAATATTTACTGTACTTTGAGCAGCAACAACAACATGCACTGACAATGCTCAACTACTGATAAGTTCGACTGCATCTCAAGTGCAGCGATGTGTGTGAGTGGAGCAGAGCCAAGCCAGTCTTCCCATTGTTGTGGAAAACTTGACTTTATTTCAGAACTTCCACACATATCCACATACACCAAAGTTCCAAATATCCTAAAGTTAAGAATTTGGCAGAGATACCTGAAAACTAAGCAAACTAAAGTTCAGAGTCGCTGGACTAGTTGGTAAACTAAAAAACAAACTGCCTTTAAAGTTTCGCAGGTTTATGGGATAGAACAGACTTTGGAATATAACAGACTTTACTGCTTCTCCTAATACCCGGAACAGTTTAAAAGAAGATTTTATGCATTTACATTACAGAAAATATATAGGGAAGTCATAGAGTTTGAGTTTTATATCCGCTTTCTATGATGAAAGCTACACTCTAATCTAATCTAATCCAAGTCAAAGTCAATCTGCATGCATATGTTATGAGAGGCAGGCAACGGGCTGCCAAAATTCTGTATGGCCCACGGCTTACTGTTTTCCCCCCTATCTAAAATACACATTGTATGCCACAGAAGCAACAACAGCAACAGCATAGACAACAACAATGTAGAACATGCACACACATCCGCTTATCGCGATAAATCAAAGCCACGAGTGCTGTTAATTTTCCAAGAAAATCTCAATGTACATTGAAGGCTGGAGTGAGATGGCACCCAAAATGGAAGCTCTGCCCAAAAACGTGTGTGCGTGTGTAATGGCCTCTGTGTGTGTGTGTGTCAGTCTGTGTGTGTGCGTGCATAAAAACAAGTTGAATTTATGTTTTCACGGCAAAAAATTATCTTAAGGCGAGTGCGATGCGAGTCACTTGCCAAGACTCTGGGAAGTCTTGGCGCGAGCTCTCGCATGTTGTGGCAAGTTTCTGTCTGATTCTAATTAAAAGCAACAGCAAGTGAAGCTGTTAGCAGCGCAAACGCGCTAGAGAGCCCAACTCAACCAGAAAATTATCAACTCTGTGGGGAGATCTAAGCCCTCAAGTACAACCATCAAATACAACCAACAGAACACGAACAGCTTCTGGTTGGACGCGACCAAAACGATGTCGTTCCGAGTGCCTTAATTTGAGCTGGACGAAGAAATGGCAATGCGAAATTTAAATACTCTTGGAACGATTTTCGTTGAGCTATAAAATTCGATTTTTATTTTAAATATAATTAATTATTATTAAATGAATTATAATTAAATTATATACACATTATTATATAAAATTTCTTCAACAGTAGCTAATGTTTGAGCCAGCTTACTCTTCCATAAGACCTCTTATAGGGTGTTACATATTGAACATCTTCCTGTGCATACCCACTGTTAACGTACTGTTAGTGTATAAAAATAGATGGTAGAACGAAATTAAATTGTGCACATTTCCGTGCAACGGAAATTGCCCAAGTTTGTCACGTGAAAGGCAATATAACAATAAAAACCATAAGCACGACAACAACAACAACAACAGCAAGTAGAGCATTATGTGGCCAGGCCATTTTTAGAATTTTTGTATATTTTTGGCAAACTCCATGAATTTCCATTAGTTAAACACGCGCAGTTTATCCGTGATTCTGAAAATCCGTTTAACTTGAAATTCATAATTCGTGCAAACACACACACACACACAAGCAGGTGTAAATGATGTGTACATTAATTTATGTGCTACAGCAACAACAACAACTAACAACTTTATTGGCCATCTGGCAATACAATTGAATTTGCAGTAACATTAGCTCGGGATTATGCAAAGTCCACAATTCGCTGTAATTTGTGCGTGCGTGCTAATTTAATAAATTTAAATGCATAATTAATTATCATTATAATCGCATTGAAGCTCTGCCAAAGCCACGCCCACTCTTGCCATAATTCAAATGAAAGTTTTTGCGCATTTGGCAACAGTTTTCCCTGTGTTTGCGACACGAATAAATCACAATTTGTAACAATTTATGGCATTACGTTTCATAACTGAGCTAATTTAGGAAATGTTAAAAATATGCAAACAGTAAAGTTTCAGTTATGACATTTTCGTAATAGTAAGAAAGTGCTGCCAAGTAAATTATTAATTAATTAAAAAAAAAAAAAACACAAATTTCTAACGGGTAATAAAAAGCAGATAATAAATAAAAATATCACCTGCCAATAAATAAACAATTTTATTATATTAAATTAACACTTTATACAATTCCAACTTGCTTTGAAACCTATACAAAATACAAAGGAAAACACTTTTTACTGCCATCAATTGATATTCAAATAACAGAGATAGAAAAAGATTTTCATATTTATTTAAAATATATATTTTTGATATTATTTGTGCACTGCCTCAAGCCTTTACAAATGAGAAAAGTCAATGTAAATGAATTTCACTTTGTGAACAAATTATATTTATAAAGTTCTTGTTCTTGTTGTTCTCAGCTTTAACTTTATATACAGAGGTATGTCTGTTATACATATGCAGTCTGTTGGCTGAATTTAACGCACTGTTTAAGCGCCTAAAGGAATTCACACACACACACGCATACTCACACAGACATAAATTAATTAAAAGTCGGAAACAGATAAAAATATACATAAATAAAAATAAGTAAACACACACAGAAGCAACAAATGCAGGCGACCGTTGCGACAATTATTAAAGAACCACCGAGCTATAGCAGCAACAATTGTGACAACAACAACAACAACAATAATCAGGCCACCAAACAAGCCAACAACATAAATAAAACAAACAGCAAAGCAGCTGCACACAGCACGCAGCACCAGCAGCAACAGCAACAGCATCAAAAGAAGCAGCCGCATCATCTTTGGCTGCACGTTGCACGTTGCATGTTGTGCGTTGCTGTGGCAATCTGTATACATGTGTGTATGCAACGCCGAACACAAATTGAAAAAGTCAACCCCCAGCTCCCCAAACTCAGCCAACGAGTCAGCTAGCCAGAGAAGTTAACAGAAAATCAAGAATCCAAAGCAGTAACAGAGTTAGTGCATGACATAATTACACTTAAAGAAATATTTATATGCAAGCAATTTTACAAATATTTTCTAAAAATAAAAGAAAGAAAACAAAAAGAATTAAATATTTTTGAATTGTCATTATTCACACAAGGTTTACAATATTTTACCTTTTATTTATTTTTTCCAGTGTTTTGTATATGTGCTTTGTATATATACTCTATAAGCATGAGTACAACAGCAATAATTGTCCCTCACAATTTGTCATTCTGTTTGTCTGCTTAGCAGTTACTCACCAAGATCAGCATGATAACAATGTTTTACAAACACACACACAGTTAAAATATTTAATTGTTGGACAAATAATATGTATACTCATACATATATATACATATATACTATATACACATATATAAGTTAAGAATGTCTGACTCTTATTTATTTTTATTACTGTGTAGCCCAGAGGTCGCGTGGGTCGTTGCATGGGCGCCTTTTGAAGCACGAGGAGAAGCAGAGTGAAGTGTCGAATTAAGAGAAGTGGTTAAGTGTATATGCACAAAATATGTTCAAAGTTCAGAGTTAAGATGAGCCAAGTGAGCTCCCCAAAAAGGGAAGTAAGTGTGTAGAGTGGCAGTTATGTCACTCATACATAAGAATGCCCGCGTCTCTTTCAGCTAAACCTGAACAGTGGCATAGCTGCCTCATTAGAAGCCAAATAAAAGACTTTGAGAAGTTCATAAAATTAATTTATAAAGCTTAAGTATGTATTTAAGCCTTTATATAATGACATAATAAATCTAAAGATTTCCTTCTCAACTGCTTGAAATTCAGTAAGATTTCTAATAAAAATAGAATGCGCGCTAACAATCTCTCTACTTATATCATATTGAATTTGCTTTGTCTACTTATTGTTAATAACTTTTTTAAATGTTCCCAAAGTTTGCACAACTTTTGTCTAATAATAACAACAACAAACAGCTGAACAACAAACTAACAGACAAAAGTCGTATGTCAATTGGTTAATTAAAAGAGACGTGGCTGATAACCTTTTATGTCAGGTTCGTGTAGTTTTTGTCATCACATTTTTTATATCGTATACCCCTTGAGCAATGATAAAAATGGGGTATGATGGATATTCGATTGACTAGTTGAGGTGATCTTCGTATTCCATGTAGTGAGTGGCGCAGAGGGTTATTAAAATATTATCAGAATGAGCTGGCGTTAGGTTAGGCTTATTTTCGATAATTCTAGAGTGCCAGAGGGAGAGAGTGGCAGAGGAAGCTATTGCCAAACGCTGGTGATAGATAGTTGAGCTCTAAAATACATAACATATATAAGAGGGTATCTTTTAGTGCACCGCGTGTAACTTCACGTATAACTTGTTTATTTTAGTATCTTTCTCTTTTGGCATTTGTTGTCTCTCCCAACAAGCAGTTCAAGTTTTCATTGAAACGTTTATTATGAATTTTTTTTAAGCTATGCCTAAAGTTCAATAACAAACTGCAGTAATGAACTTTAACTAATTGAATTTAATAACAAACAATAAATAAACATGAATAAAAACAAACATTGAATATGTATTACAGAAAACATTTTACAAATGCAAATTAATATTTAACATTTTGTGTTTCTCTTTTCCATTTCAGTTCACAGTTGGTGCAGAGCCACACAAAAGTCTTGAATTATGGTAAGTAAATATGCTGCTAATTGGGGTTCTTTTGCAGCGCATATTTCACATGCCAATTATATGCTAAAAAGGCAAAAAAAATAAAATGCAATTTACATGAAAAATTAGCAAACACTTAAGTAATTTCTCCATGTCAAATGTCGCCAAGAGAGAAATATTTCTTAATTTATGCCACTGGGTTGACTCGAAACTCTCGCTCTCCCTCTCACTCTATCTGTCTCTCAAAGTCGCTTTCGGTCTTATTCGCTCTAGTATGTAAATGAAATTTTTATGCGCTCGCATATTTCACGCCGCTTCGGCTGCTTTATATTGCGCTCTTAAAGCTTAACCAGGGGTGCGGAGAGGTGTGGCGGGGATGCCCTTTTTGACCACTTAATATGCAATGTGTAATACTTAAATGTAACCAGGACAATGCCAGCGAGCAGCTGAGTGCCAGCATGGAGAGCTCTCTATTCTCTTTTCTTTTTTGACACCCATGTCCCTAGAGGCCTGGGCAAATCTACGAGGAAATCTTGTTGCGAATCTGCCAAGCAATTTATATTCGGTGACTCGACATGTGGCAACTGGGTCACTGCATGTGAAGAGCGGGCTTCATGTGATTGTTGTTTTTATTATTTTCCTTTCAAGTCGAAACTCACATATTCTGTGAGCTCTTTAATTTTGTATACTCTGTTGACGACGTGAACTCTGGCTTTTGCTGGCGAGACTAAAACTGAGAGAGACTTTAAGAGTTGGAAGATAATGAAGAGACCTTACTGGGGTTATGCTAACTCATCGCGAGTCAGGCCTGTATAATACTATGTTAGATGATTTATAAGATATAATATAGATAATATATATTTATAAGATATAGATATAGTTATATAAGTAACTATGGATTGTAGAGGTCAGTCAGCTCTATATACATATATCAAATATAGATCCCTTAAATCTAATATATATGTATATTTAATATGTATCTATAAATTACTTTTATACAAGGAGCAACCAGACTTTACCGAAGTCAGTTATTATCGACATCTTTGAGTCCACACAGGCGTATAGGCAATTAATAATTTGTACGCCATTAGAAGCCAGAAATACAATTTCCGGCTCATTACAAGCAGCCCCATTGCCCGCTGTGTCTCCGTTCAAGTTCAAAGTCTAGACTCTGGCTGCTGGTCACCCACAGAGCACAATTAATTTAATGCCCGGCCATAAGATTGAGCCCGAGAAGAAATTGTTAAGAGTTGGTTGTACAGTTTGCAAAATGCTTTACACTGATTGCAATTGCTAACTGTATTAGCTTTTATCGCACGCATAGTATCCCATCCTCTGCCAGCTTGATAAATGAGTTCATAATGCAGCCTAATTGTGGTCTCGTTAGTGGCTAGCTAACTGGGATGGCCAACAACAGCAAGACGACACTTGGGCCAGCTGATAAAGTGCGGAGACCGACTGTCTCTATGTGAATTTTGCAGATTTCCATTTCGGTTCCAATCAGACAATGCCGCATGTCATGTGTATTGGCAATAAAGCAAATCAAATTTAATGATAAGCTCATGTGCTTGAACATGTCTTTTACGCTTGATGAGTTTTCCACAACAGCAACAGCAGCAGCGCCAGCAGAGCCAGCAACAAAGCGAACAACAAACACATCGAATGTCTAATTTAGCGGCGTTGCGTATACGCCGCGTGTGCCCGCTTCGCGCACAAGGACCAAAGACCTTTGGCATTCACCATGCTACAGCTAACGAAGCGAAATGAACAGACAACAATAACAACAAGAACAAGAACAACCCAATTTGAAGCCATAATTTACTGCTTTTATTTATGGCATATTTTTAGGTGCTCGCAGCTAGCAACACACAATGCTTAAATGAAGTGTTGAAAAATTATAAAAGGAGAAAAATAAGGGCAAATACGTCAAGTGCTGCATAAATTCAATTCGTTTCTAAATTGAACATTTGCGATAATTGCTTTGCCTTAGGATTTCACGCGCTTTCAGTTGAATTTTCAGTCCATCTGGGGAGCTAATAAATGGCGCCGGCAGATGTGAGACCTCGACCATCGCACTCGCATCCAATTCCAGATCATAGCTCTGCAACAGCCTGACAAGCGCCAGCTTAATGACCATTTTGGCAAAGTTTTGTGCTGCGTGTGGGAAACTCTGTTAGTTTTTGTTTACCCTCAAAGGTGTGTTCGCTCTTCATGCCACTTACCCACACACTGAGCCCCGCCTATGCCAAAGCCCGCTATATCTGAAGGACATTGCTGGCCTTCTCCTCCATCGGGCTGATTGTGTAGAAAACGGAGTGGCTTATATTTCAGTGGCTCGCTGAAGTATCTGCCATCACGCTGTATGGCCAGCAGTGGCACCATCAACGTCTTGCCCACGCCAATCCTCAGCTTGCTGCCGGGCAGCGTGTAACGCTTGCGGCAAACGCGCTCTATTATGGGCACTGGCGGATACTTGCGCAGCGTTTCTGTGGAGCAGAAAAGTTGGGACATTAAGTTTGCGATTGATGTAACTTGTTGTGAGTGAGCCACACAGGAGGCATCAACAAGAAGGGACAAGTAGGCTAAGACTGGGATGTAGCCATGACCAGATCTACTCTAATGGAGTCAAAATATATCTACCATAAATAATGCAAATATCTATCTTGTTTTGTGTTCGATAGAGCTAAGATTTGATATCATAATAGTGTTTAGCTGAGGACAAAATAGAATAGAATTACTCAAAGCAAATCCTGCAATGAAGCCCTGCGATTTAACGGTACCAAAGCAGTCTACACAAGAATTACGATAGGTATGCTATAAAAATACTATGATGAAGCAAAAGTTAATAAATAAAGACAGATATTCACTTCTGCTGAGGACAGGATAATCTAAAGATTAAGAAGAATAAACCATATATAATCATTGTGACTCTGTTAAATTATCCTCTCCTATATGTAGCACGATCTTTTAAAACTATTGGTCGGTAAACTTTTAAGCATCTCTATTGCCTATAAAATATGCTCTCATAGCTCTTACTCACTCCCATTGATGTCAACCAAACACCGCATTTCAAAACACTCACCTTTCACACACATATCCATATACTTGAGACCCATCAATTGCTCGAAGGCCAGTTGGCCATCCTTTAAATTGAGCTCCTTGATCTCTGTCTGCAGCTTCTCCACAATCAGCGGCTGTTGGGCAATTTCATACAGTGTCAGAGCTATGGTGGAGGCAATGCCATCCAAGGCTGAGTGCATTAGGTCCTCGGCTACCTTAGCCAGTCGCTTGATGCACATCAGCTTGTCCTCTTCTGCAAGGAGGGGCAAGAGCAAACATCAGCTAAAGTGTGGGAGGAGGCGTTGCTTAACTAACCAATGGCATGCTCGATTTGCCACTTGTCGCTACTGAGATCGTTGCCATTGCGAAACTTGACCAAGAGCTGGAGCATGTCCTTGCGTATGATGCCGCTCTCCTCGCGCTGCTCCACATTGTTCTTTATGATATCTATGAGGCGGTAGGCGAGCGAGGACTTCTGTGGAATGCCTCTCAGTGTGCTGCGCCCCATAGCACATATTAGTTGAATTATTATTATTTAATTGATACCAAATTGATACTCACAATGATTGCAGTCCACCGTACTGTGAAGGATGCTGTACATAGCTATTGAGTATGTGGTCCCTTTGCACGAAGTTGTTCACATCCAAGCCGTAGACCAGATTGCCTATGATATTCACAGCATATCTGAAGGTAGACAGATTAAGAAAGTTATTATAAAATGAAGTTTTAGTTAGGCTCAGTCTTCTTCGCTTACATTCTCATCAGGTACTGCAGATCCAACTCCAGCAGGCCCTGCTCCTCCCTTTTCGCCAGGTACTGCATCATATGGTCGGCCACATGTTGAGCATTGCTGAACATGGCGGACAGACGCTTTGTGCTAAACATGGGCGACAGTTTCTCCAGCAAGTTGAAGCGTCTGTAGCCCTTGACGTAGTCCCATTTGGATTCGGTAAAGTGGCCATTCGACTGCTGCAGAATGCTAAGGGCCAGCTGGGGTTGACGCACCAGCAATACGGGTCGAAAGAAGCAGTAAATCCCAAACAGACGATCACGCCCTTCCTGGTAAGCCTCACATATGGCCTCCACGTGCCGGAACTCTCGTTGGTAGGCCAGCGTGAGAAACTGCCAGGACAGCGAGGTGTGCTCGCTCGGGAAGCGCTTGCGTCGCCAATAGCTATAGATGTGTCGCACATATAGAAAGATCGCCGAGTAGGCGATTATCGGCAGCAGCAGCCACATGTTGAGGCTCTCGCAGACTTTGATGGACTGACTGACTGAATGCGTTGCCCGGCGATAATTATGACAGGTTGTGCCGCATCCAGTGGAAATCGAAAGTCACGTCTCAGCCGCTGCTCCGCTCTGTTCCTGTGGGCAACAAGTCAACGCAGTCTGGCGCAGTCTGACCAAAACCATACAAAAAATGTGAGAAACAGAAGGAAAAAACCAAGCCCGGCCTCTTTGCCTCTCTCCTTCTTTCTCTTTCTCTCTCGCTCTCTATGTCCGGCTGATAATGAGCATTGTCTCTGCCTCCTGATAATTTATGCAGCAGCAGCTGTACCAGATGCCTCCGCTGCTTGCTATTTTATCAGTATGCGCATCGCTCTGCTCAATATTTTTGACAATTTTTGTTTACATATGTCTCTCTCACTCTGCCGCTGCACAGCATCTATCACGGTGATAAGAGAGATACGTTTTTATTTCATATACCATGTCTTAGTCTATAGCAACCAGAAGCTTTGGTATTAGTTGTGCATAACTCAAGAGACGCAAACTGGATCTGGCGACTTTTTTTATTGTTCTCTTCCTTTGGGCTATGCCAAAGTTGGCAGGTTTTTGTACACCTTTCTGGCCAGGGCCAACTTGAAGCTGACCTTGCAGCGCAAATTGTCTGTGATCAGGGGAAGCGCTTAACAATCACTGTCTGGACATTGTCTGGATGGACAGTGCGCACAGTCTAAGGC